CTGCTGAGGGCACTGGGGGTTACCATGAGCATAAGGACTTGCCAACATGGAGTCAGTTAAAGAATCAAGACTTAAATGGAACAACTCAATACATACAGCAAGGGTAAACATAATCAGGGCCAATTACTACTGTACCTATACACTTTTGTTTAAGAGTGCCATAGTTCTAAATGAGCATTTCTTTCAGGACTTAGATCAGCATTTTAATAAGTCCTTCGGGACAAGTGACACAAGAAGTAAATAAGAGTATCTGGAATGGAAAGAGATTAGGTTTGGGGAAGATGTTCCACCAGCAGAGGGCAGCATGGAAATGGTGATACTAGGAAAGAAAGGCACAAATACAGCTGTGTACAAGATGGGCAGGATAGCAAGCCAACAAAAAGCACTATACACACACAAAGGAGAAAGTAATAGAATTTACAAAATATTTCAGAGACCAAACAACAAGCCTCTCTTTTGGACTGGATAACCAGTATTCATTAGTACAAAATGTCAAGTAACATTTTCAGAGCAATCAGTAATATATTAAAAAAAAATCCACTTACCAACAGCTAGGAGTGCTTGATACTGCTTTAGGTTTTTTGTTGTAAGAGGTGGACACATACGGATAGCAAACTGAGGCAGGGGAAGCCCTGAAAGCAGCCCCGTCAGCAGAAATTTCAGATGAACTTCTTGCAATAAAGAATTTTTTAACTGTTCTTCAGCCACTGTGCCTTGTCCTGCTTTATGTTAAAAAAAATTCAAGTTTCTATGGGTATGACCTTTTTAATACCAGACACAAGAGTTATAAATAAGTATTATCAACAATCTGTGTAATACATGATGCAAAGTAACACTTAACGAGACACCCTCTATTATTGGAAAAAAAAAAAGAGGACAAGTACCATATTTACTCAATCTAGGAGGAGGGTTTTTCCCCTAGGCAATATGGGAGAAAAAGCCCTTTGTCCTGGACCTGAGTACAAGCTTGGGAGGTAAGTGGCTGCTGCAGCTCTGGCTCCAGCCTCAGCCCAGGCTTGGGGTCGGAGTTAGAGTCACTATCCTGGCCCAGCTGTGTAATACGAATACATACAAAAAATGTAGGTAAAAGATAATCAGGTCCTAAGTGTCCATTCTTATGGCTAGAAATCGTATATTCTTTAAACCAGTGGTGCTCATATTTTTTGCCCAGTGGGCCAGATGGGTAGTGCCAGGTCCACCCGTGGTCCCGATCCAGAGCACAGAGTGGGAGTGGCAAGCCCCATCCAGCTGTGCAGAGGGGACTGGTGGGCAGCCAGACCCCAAATCAGCCTGTCAGAGGAAGGGGCATGGCTCAGCCCCACAGAAGGGAAAGGAGCTTGACCCAGCCCCAACCTGGCCCCACAAGGTGAGAGGATGTGGCCCAGCCCTGATCCAGCTGCAGGGAGAAGGATGGGGTGTGGCTGCCATGTGGGGTTCAGGAATTTGGCAGGGGGAAGGGTGATCATATTAATGGCCACCCTTCCCCCAACATTAAACTTCTCAACTGTGGGGTCCCAGTAGGTCAGATGTGATGACTCTGCGGGCCACATCTGGCCTGTGGGCCAGAGACTGAGTACCCTTGCTTTAAACCAGTGTTTTTCACACTTTTCAGATGAAAGGCACCCTTCACTGGACTCAAGGCACCCCTTCATAACTTCTGTGAACTGAGTGGCACCATTTTCAAGAAATAATTTATAAACTTCAGTGCTTACCCGCTTGCAGAGAAGAGGGGGATCATTCAGAAAGGGACAAGCCTGAATCTGTGATTATCTACTTAGCTTACCTGCTTATCTCTTTACATCTAGCTTATCTTGCAGCACCCTTCCAAGGATCTTGCAACAGCCAGGCTGAGAACCACTGCTTTAAACAGTGGGAAATTAGAGATGAAACTGCAGAATGACTCTTCACGTGGTGGGAGCATGTCTGCACTGCGTATGAATAGGCTAGTGTCAAGGACACACTTAAAACTCAATGATCCCTAGAGCTACATCCATTATTTCGTTAAATATGCTCACACTACCAAAAAAAGAGAAGTGCTGCTTTATTCCATTAAAGGAAGCATTTTCTTTTTAGAATTCATTTGAGTTCCAAACAAAAGTTCTGCACCATAAAAGCCCTAGAAAAGTGGGTAATGTCTTTAATGAGTTCTGAAACTATTTATGATTAGTGGAGTGTGTGTCATTATTATAAGATTTTCTAATAGTTTTAAACATCTAACTCTACCAATAGTGGTTACTCTTACCTATCATGTTATCTAGTGAAAGGTCTGGAAGTTTGTTCTGGAATGCTCCTACAGGGATTCCACAGAAAGAGGCTGGCGAATACAAAGGTGATACACTTGAATTGCTGTAAAAGATGAGAAAAGAAGACTGGAATGTAAAATGGTATTACTGTATCCCTGACAATGTCAAATGTGTTTTTTTCCCAGAATTGTTCTCCCATTATTCCTGCTACTTTCTATTTTCAGGAACTTCTGTGGAGATTTTCATATACAGCCTTACAAATATGAAGTAACTGTCTAAGTATCAGGTAATTAATTCTGCACAATTCTCATCTTTTTTATGTGCATTTAGTATAAAAATATAAGTGATAGTGCTAACAGTAGGAAGGAGAGAAGGTAGTTAAAAGGAAAATGTTTCCTTAAAATTTAAATGTTGGTTCCTTCCATATTGTAGGATGCCAGCCAGTTCACAAGCCAATTATTCCTAAAGCAAAAGGAATGAGTAAAATTGTCTCTTCTATAACACAAATGAGTTTTAAAACCCTGTGCGTAGTACAATTGTTTTTATCCTCTTTATAGGAACATGCTTACCATATTTTCTATAGCACATCAAATTCTGTTATTTTTGAGATATAATTTAGTGTTGTTACTTAAATGCCTCTCATAAATAGAATAAAAAATATAATTAAAAAATGGAAACTTAATACAGTTACCTGACACGTAAGCTTCTGCCAGAAATGGTAGACTTCAGTTCCCATATCATTACCCTGCCATCACTGACAATGAGAGCTGCAGAGTTTTCATTCACTGGGCAACAAACCATGCTGAATGGGCGAACTGTCTTTGTTACCCTAATTGCATCACACTGACTTCGTAAATCATAGATCAGCTCCTGAACCGGATCTGGATCTGTAATTTCACCAATGAGAAAATATAGGACAGAATTTAGAAATTATTACTGGAGCCTGACACGAGGAAGTAGAAAATACAAATGACTTTTTTTTTTTTGGTTAGAATACTTTTTTTTTTGTTTTTTTGATACAGTCTCCCACAACACTGATACAGTCTCCCACCTTGTTCTCGCAGGCAAGCTAAGGAAGTATGGGCTGGATGAATGGACTATAAGGTGGACAGAAAACTGGCTGGAGCATCAGACTCAGACGGTAGTAATCAATGACTTGATGTCTAGTTGGCAGCTGGTATCAAGTGGAGTGCCCCAGGGGTCAGTCCTGGGGCCAGTTTGTTCGATGTCTTCATCAGTGACCTGGAAGATGGCATAGAATGCACCCTCAGGAAGTCTATAGACGACATAGAGCTGGGGGGAGTAGTAGATACGCTGGAGGTTAGAGCTAGGATTCAGAGTGACCTAGACAAACTGGATGATTGGGCCAAAAGAAATTTCTTGAGGTTCAACAAGGACAAGTGCAAAGTCTTGCACTTAGGACAGAATAATCCCATGCACCGGTACAGGCTGGGTTGCTGACTGACTAGGGAGCAGCTCTGCAGAAAAGGACCTGAGAGTTACAGAGGACAATAAATAAGTTGAATATGAGCCAGCAGTGTGTCTTTGTTGCCAAAAAGGTTAATGACATACTGGACTGCACTGGTAAGTGTGTTGCCAGCAGGTCAAGGGAAGTGATTCTTCCCCTCTATGCAGCACTGGTGAGGCCACATGTGGAGTACTGTGTTCAGTTTTGGGCCCACCACTACAGAAACGATGTAGACAAATTGGAGAGAATCCAATGGAGGGCAACAAAAATGGTGAGGGGGCTGAGGGTCATGACTTATGAGCAAAGGCTGAAGAAGCTGGGTTTATTTAGTTTGGAGAAGGGAAAACAGAATGGATTTAGTAATAGCCTCCAACTACCTGAGGGGCTGGGGTTTGAAAGAAGATGGAGCTAGACTGGTCTCATCTGGTGGCAGATGACTGAATAAGGAGCAATGGTCTCAAGTTGCAGCAAGGGAAGTTTAGGTTAGATATTAGGAAAAATTCTCTCACGAGGAAGATAGTAAAACACTGGAACAGGTTACCCAGACAGGTGGTGGAAGCTCTATCCTTGGAGGTTTTCAAGACCTAGCTAGATAACGCTTTGGCTGGGATGATCTAGTTGGATACAGTCCTGCTGAGTAGGGGGTTGAACTAGATGACCCCCTGGGGTCCCTTCCAACCCTAATTTTTATGATTCTATGAATACACAAAATAGTTTGATGAAAACCAAAAGGAAATTAAAAATTAAACCATTTTAATTTAAAAATATACACTGGATAACTGTAAGAAGTTCAAACAGAGGTATCTGTAAAATGGGTTATTTTATTGGAATTGTGCAAATCTTAAAAAGGTCACAACATAAAGTTTCCCTTAAGACAGGTATAAGAAGAAGCGATAACCTATTTTCCACCCAAGCTAAAATACTTCAACTTGTTTATCAAACTAAAATAAGGTAATGTGATATCAACATACTGTCAGAATTTCTCAGATTTTATAGTCCCACAGAAAGACTGAAAAGAGAAACACCATTTATTTTCACATGGGGCATTAAAATTAACAGAATTATGTTTGCATATAGCTACCAGTTAAATCTCTTATCCCTCATTTAATGCGATCAAAAACATTTTGCTTTTAGTAATATGCTGTTAAAAAATTAGATATGTTTAGTAACTCAGAAGTGAAAATTGGAGTCAATAAAATCATTCCAGTACTAACCACCATTCAGAGCAAATGACTTCCAAACACTTTTGTGAATGCATTTGTAAACAATACTTCAAAGACAAATTTGTGTTTTGCTTTGCCATTTATCTGAGTTTCTCTATGGATCCAATTGTTAAACTGATTTGTAATTTAAGATACTTTATTCAGCACTGAAAGGATTTGTAGAATATTCATGATCTTCTCTCATATTGAATACCAAGAGAATTTAGAATCAACATTGGGAAATAAAATGAAGATTCAATACTCAAAAGAGGAAGAGGCAAGAAATATAACGACCAAATATCACATAAAATATACTAAAAACCAGTTGTGAATATGTTTCTGAAGTTTAGACTTTGTATTTGAAAACCACAGGAAATCCAATCAGGGCTAGCAGTGTGAACTCACTAACCTCAAACTCCATTTTACCCATTTGTTGACAAGCTCACCTGGTTCCTCATTTGGAGAGCCAATTATACTGTTCAGTCTGCGAACTCTTAAAGTTATACATCCATTTTCATGTAGGCAAAACAAACCATCACGTTGAAAGCAGGGAATTACCTATATAAATAGATGCCAAAGCATTTGGATTAACACCAGATCATGTACTGTGCAATTCATATTAGTATGCTTATGGAACTGCATGGTCAATTGTTTTAAAGTAACTGAAGAACAGAAAACAAAGGGACTATTTAAGTCAATATCTAGTCACATTATCTGTGGCAGAACCAATACCCTTTAAGGAAATTCCAGCCTCTTGTGCACATACGCAGTGCAGCCCCATGCTATAAAAATTATTCAGCCCTTGACATTTATTTTCCTGAGTGGATTAAATCATAAAATAAATTGTATGAATACACACAATTTATTTTATTTGTTTATATATTTTTATTAGACACACACACGTACATATACATAAGCGTAAGCAAAATCTCAGTTCCTTACAACTCAGGAGATTACACGGTTTTATGCATAAATATGTAAATAACTGCTGGATATTCATGAAGATGTCTGCAAATCCCAAATATTTCATGCATTTTAGAACAAAAGTATGTATTGAAGACTGTGAAGAGTAATTGGGAAAGGCATTTGATAACATCTAATAACATTCAGCCCCTGAAATTAAGTCAGTCAGTGCCATGTTGCTCATAAGGTCTACATGAATCAATTTGAGAACTTCATCACTGATGACTTATGAAGTAAATTGGGATACTAAATTTACTGGTATTATTGATACTGGTTTCAGGAGGAAAGAGCATGCTTCTGAGGACTTCAATGGTTTCATTTGTTTTAAGGTAGCATTTCTTCAACATGCAGATAGATTTTTGAGCACACCTCTGTTGTAGCTTTGTACTTTGCTTTTTCTCTAATCACATGATCTCATTCACTTAGTTAGGACCCCAGACTTGACTTCACAACCTAATCAAGCAAAAGTAAATGCTCAAAAAAAAGTCCATGTCATATTTTGTGTAAAAACCTAAACAACCAGAAAATGAAATTTCCTTTCTCCGCAGGATTGTTTCCACACTGGTAAGTTTTATAACACAACAAACTAAGGTGGATTTGCAGAAGGATTCAGAGAGCTAAATTAAACAATGTTTGCTGCATCAGGGGCCAACTTTTTCCCTACCAAATTTCTTTCTATTCTACTCAAAATACAATCAGCCTGTAAGCCAGCTAATCGTCATTTGTTTTTTCTACTCCTCTCTTAACAGAAAGCACCCTGCCCCTACAATTAGAGAGCACCTGGTAAATAAAAAAATGTCATTCAAAATTTGGAATCTGTTAATGCACGATCAGAAAAAAGAGATGCAGTAAAATTAACTGTCTAATTCCCCTCTTGCCTACCTTTGTTCAGATTTAAGATAAACGCAGCAGTTTTCTCCGATTCCAAAGCTTTTAATTTTCCATGCCCTCCCACAAAAGTAAACTGAAAATGCAACTGTTGGATGATTAGCTTCTCTTCTATAAATACTTCTGCAACTTATCAGAATTCAAAATGACATCCTGATGAGATAAAATACCAATAAAAAAAGAAACTAAAAAGGAAAAAAAAATTAACATGGAGACTGCTCATGGAAGGAAGACTACTGACAAACTCTGCTTACCTTGCTGGAATGTTTGCGAAAATAACTGGAATATATACGCAAGATGCTAAAACGTGCAATTCCCCGAAATCATTCTATTTACATTATTTCTAATATAATACCAACTTCCACAAATATCAACTAATCATACAATGAGATTTAAAAAGCTTCCATTATAGCATGCAGGAAAAGCAGATGCAATGGAAGGCTAATAGGGTTCACTAGCCAGCTTCCAGTATTTCCACGTGCTCTGATAGTAACTTGCTGCAAGCTAAATGAAGTGATGAACTCCCCTTAACCTCACAGTGTTTAAATTCCCATCGTCACTCTTTTTAAACAAATTTAGGCCTCTAGGAAGCTGTGAGGAAAGCAAAAAAAAATCCCTGACATCATCAGTTTTGTCCTGAGGGGAAAAATTCTTCTAATCCTAAAGAGGGTGACTTGGTCATACTGACATTATCTTGGAAATCCAGTTTAAACTACATTTTCATAATTCAACAAGGAGAGCAGGGCAGTAATTGTAGCAGAATGGCTGATGCATGCCAGTATAGTTTATGTACAGCAGGAAGCAGAAGACGATCAACTGGCTCTTTCAAATGGACCAAAGGGGTACAGGAAGAAGCAGTGGCACCTCTTCTCCAAACCTATGAAGCATAATCTTTGCTGGCATTTAGGCATTGGGATGGGTGGATGGAGTAGTCCAGACTCATGTTCTCTTCCATGGTCTTCCCAGTCTATCTCCTGATAGCAACATCCATTCTTGCAGAGACACAGGAAGCAATTCTGAGAACATAATACTCGGCACTGTCACAGGATCCTGGGTTCAATTTCTCAGCACACAGTTCCCCTTTATAAAACTCAGCAATAAGAAGTATCCTAGGTTGAAACAACTAATTCTTACCCCCTCAGCAGGGAAAAAAAACCCATCTTGTTTCCCTAGACCTAGTAAAATAATTGACACACCTAATATTTAGATATACAGCTTTCATTAATTGTCAGTGGAATTTCTGAGAAACTAGTGCTCGTTCAGGACCTATCCTTTTCACACCCAAATTGGAATTTCTGATGAGTCTCAAAGACTAAAAATCCCAACACAGATTTGACACAAATGCAGTAAATGGAATTTTAAAGATACTTTTATTCATGTACTTGATATTTATAAAAATTCACTAGAAGACTGTCAATAGAATTTAAAAAAAGCAATCTTAAATATCCTGCCGTAAAAAAAAAAATATTCAATTAAATTAGCTTAGCAACAAAACACTTGGATAAATTACCTGTAGAAAAGGTATCCCTGTTCTTTCAATTGCTATCACACCCACTGTCTGGTTCACTTCCAGGTCAAGAATCAAAATTTCTCTGGGATAGAGTAGCAACATGTAGTTTCTTTTCGAAGGGAGGTATGACAACTGAAGGCAGTCATTCAGGGTTACGGACTCAGCACTGAAATATACCAAATACAAATCTACAAAGTATGCTGTTAGGTTATGCAGCAAGCAGGAGCAGTTTGGAATAAGTTTTAATACTATTGTGTTTCAAATTCATATATTATTAATAACGAAAAAAGTGATATTTGGCATATTACCATAATGGGCAATTGTCTAAGCACTACCCACTTCAAGAGTTAAAGATAGTTATAAAAATTCACTTAATCCATTACGAATCAAAATCATCCACTGATATTATAGGTGGTAGGACTTTTTTTAAATACATTTGCTTCTCTGGACTCACAAATTTAATGGTTTTACATGTCCGGTGCAAAGCAGTCCAACTGCAAAGTGTTGGCCATTGTAGCAGTTATTGGTATTCACGGAAAATTTACTTGGGCTATTTATTGGTGCTTGCATGTAACCATGCATAATTTTTTATTTTGCAATTAACTAAACTAGTCTTGTTGCCAAAAAGGTACATTCAAGCCAAGGGAAAAATAGAGAACATGCAAATGCTATTTCAGTATCCTACCAGCTACAACACTAAAATTTAAATGCATTTAAATTTGTGAGGAATTTTGAAGTAAAAGATACTCTTTAGTTTATACATTTAATCCAATAAACTGATCTGAATAGAAAATAACTATATAAAGTTTAAACTCCTAATACTCTTCAAAAGACCCATATAGTTCAATAACCAACTCCCACATCTCTTTTTGTTCCATTTTTTCCCCTTGCTTCACCCAGCCTAAATAGCTTGCTGTGACAAGCTAGAGGTTTTATTGTAAGATTTGTGTTTTAAATCTTGATACAGACATTCAAAAAAGCCCAAAGAGGAATCAATCTAGGTTACAGTTTTCTGTAAGCAGTGTAGTTTAGATTAGTAGTGAACAGAATGCACATTCACCCTTTGGAGGGGAGATCAAATATTACACCATGTTTTGCCATTTTTAAACCAGTTTAAACCAGCATGTTGAACTTCTGTTCTGCTGTGGGTATAAACCAGCTTTGTGCGCCAAACATATGCTCTGTTACAGGTATAGACCAGTTTCCGATCACTTATAGCGGTAAAAATATAATATCTGTACCTGACCTAAATGTGTTCATGTAATAATGTCATATGCCCGTTTCCCTGACTAGCCTGTATATGGGGAAAGAAGAGCCCCTGCTAGGTCCCAGAGCTGCAGCAAGAGACAAAATGGATCTTCAGGAATAAAGAAAATGAACAGATTTGTTGATATGTCAACAAGGTAGTATAGGAGGTGACGCTCGAAAACTCCAAGGAAGCTGAGAGATGAGCATCATAATGGACCAATGGAAGGAGAAGCCTGCAAAAACAGGAAATCCCCCTGGGAGCTGGAGAATCTAAAAAGAGTAAGAAACCAAGGAACATCCAAGGCCCTATGCTAAGCTAACCTGGAGTGGGGGGAGAGGGAGGGAAGCAGGGCATGTGCAGGGTTGCATGAGCTAAATTGAGTGCCTTTGTTGGGGGCACTGTCCTGTTGCCTTTACCCCCAATATCTGCTTTTATTGAAGAGGAACTGTCTGCATTATTGCTTGGGATTTTGGGATGCAGTTTTCTATCAAGAGGGCAAAGTCCCTTGTTTGAGAGTGAATGATATGGCAGCTCCCTGAGAAAGGAAGACCCTGGGAGACCAGGAAAGGTGAGAGACCCAAAGATAAAGGTCTTGGGGTCAGAAGGAGCTTGGGCTGCTCCCTACCCCCCACCAGCTTCGAGGATACAGAGAGATCAGACAAGACTAGAGGTCCCAAGCAGGCACTTTCATGGGATGGGAGGATCCAAGATACTAGCTTCTACATTCATAACCCTCTCATACACTCCTGTTCAGCCACACAAATCATCCTATGCCTGCAACAGTGTTCCTGATCTGAACTCTTCCCTCTCTTTCTCTTAGTGCCTGGAGGGAGCATAACCGAAAGACAAATGAAACTAATCCAAACAAATATCTATTACATCTATCCCATGCCCTCTGTCCAGTTAAATTGTTTTGTGGATGACATGTAGGAAGATGACTAGGATATATTTGGTACCAATTCATTAAATAGTGAAATTCAAGAATGGAATCAAAACAAAGAAAAAAAAGTGTCTGTTATTTTACCAGTAGTACTAAGTGCATGTGCATATATTGCAGCAGTCCATTTGCTTTCCTTCTGGACATTTCCAAATCAAGTGTTCCATTTGAAGCAGCACAAGTAAATCATGACAGAACATGAAAAGACAATATCATGCCTTTTAACTTGGTATCTAGATCACAATTTCTTTAAATGATTGCAAAATGAGATGCCATCAAACCTCCTATTTGGCTTGCAATTTCTACATCTTATTAAAATAAGTACAAATTTAAAATCTCTACTAAAGTTTGGCATTAAGCACCGAATGACAATATAGTCTGATTAGCTTGTTCCCACAATTACGAGCAGATTGAGAAGTATTTTTAGCATGTAAAAAGAAAAGGACAAAAAGAAAAAAAATAAGCTATGTGAAAGTAAAAAAACAGCCAATTCCTAGGGAAGTTCAAAATGCAACAATTTTAGACTTAAAGTATTTTACAGTTCCGATTGTTGTGGTATATGGTGCAATAAAATACTCTTACTAATACTTAAGTGTGGGATAAATACTTATATAATATAATAATATTTTTAAAAATCTCTACCCAGTTACTATTACTAAAGGATTTCTAGTTTTCCTCATTCCATAATCGACAGGAAATATCATCCCCTTTTCAGCTTTCATTACTGAACGAAGGCTTTTATGAATTAGGAGCGTCTTATGTCTTGGATTGAAAATGGTCAAATTAGACTCATGCTAATCTCCTTTAGTGAGCAGCTCAATTTCCAAAGATCACCCACTGAGAACACTACCATAACTATCCTTGTCATAACATGCCAAAAGAATGTGGCTGCTTCTCTGAGTGGATTAGAGAAAACTCTTATAGCTCTAATAGCCTTTCATGGTTTTAATGACAAGAATGAGCACCTGGCATCAAATAGGGAGCACAGGTATGATGTACCATTTATTCCTTTTCTTGCTGTTTTCTTGCGTTATGCTCTATTAACTTGAAGAGAGCTGCAATACTCCAACTTTGTTCATCATCAGATCTTCAGAAATAAATGGACACAGATTCACAATAAACCAGAGGTGGGGGAAAAACAGTTATAAATAACTGCTATACTTTAAAGTTTACTATTTCAGCATTAGAACAGGTAGAAATGGGTCTTAGATTGAATCTTTCCTGCTCAAAAAACAGTGCTGCCACACTCAAAGCTCCCCTGCAGATGTAGAACCCTATTTTCTGCCAGCAGTTGCATCACTAGTGTTAAGCATTGTAAGACTTCTGCTGCCAGCCAACAGCCACCAAAACAGGCACACAGGCACTTCTGTGCCATCTGCAACAGTCTCCATTCAGTATCTGACGCTTTCAGATGGTGAACTTTGCATTCTGGCAACAGAAATTCGGAGTGGAGCTACCACAAGTACATGGATGCGTATGCTTTCTCATAGCTTATTGTTGGCAGCAGTATCTACTGCCAGAACTTCTGCTGACAAGGAAGTATGGACAAGGCCCAATCAGCATTTATTACCTGAAATTTAGGACTATGGAAAATATTATCACTCAAAGGTTGAAGGACACCTCACTGTTAAAGGGTGCATCTCTAGGGAGGATACTGACAACAGGGTAGAATTAGAAAATTATCAGAAATTTAGAAAGCAGGTATGCATTATATGTACTTTCTCATCAAGTTCTATGAAGAAATATAGCTAAAGTCAGAATATTGTAATTATTAAAATTAAGAGATAATCAACAACTACAATGTACCGATTGCCCAGTAAATTCTAATAAGTAATTATTGTTTAGATGTTGAAACAGAGTAACTTTTCTTTTATAACACCGTACTTTGATAAAGGCAGTGGAAATCAATGTTCATTCTGTCTGTGATTTCTATGAAGTTCTGTTGGTTTGCTCATCTTGTAAACAAAAAGATTTGTTTCTATCACGAGCTAAAACTCAACTTAAAATCTGGAAGCTAATGTCAATCAATTTGACACCATAAGGATGAAGTTTTGCACACCAGATTCTGACTTGTTTCACCTTCTTATCCTATACTCTGCAGAATTCTGCTGCTTATTGCACTTGACACTGAAGACAACAAGTTGCACACCAGTAGGCTGAGTTCACTACATACGAGGTTCTTTGCATCTCTCTATTTTCCCTATAAAAGTGTCTTACATAGGGGTGCACCAATAAACATTTTTTGGGCTGATACCAATGGCCAATTATTAACCAGTCACATTGGCTGATACCGATCTGATTGCTAATATGCAGCCCGGCAGCCTGGAGAGCAGCGTTCGGCTGGTAAGTTGGGGGGAGGACAGATTGAGGCCCCCGCGGTGAGGGAGAGAGTGGGACTGGGGCAGGGCCAGGTGCTGCACAGCCAGGACTGGGCTGGGTGTGGACGGAGGCGCGGCTCATCTAGGGGCATGGGAGGGCGGCTCCTGCTGCTGCGCATATCCCCGGTGGAGGCATGGGGGTCACGTGCTCTCCAGATCTGTGCGTAGAGCAAGGGCAGGCTGCTGCCATACACTTGGGGCTGGAGGCTGCGCCAGACTCTTCCTGGCGTGGGAGGCTGGGCCCAGGCTGTGCTTGGGGCAGGCAGGGGTGGGGTGGGCAGTGGCGGTGCTGGAAGGGGAGTTATGGGGGGGA